GTAATGAATATGTTGCTTGCTGTATATTATTTTAAAACTGTATTTGTAAAATCGTTACAACAGGGTTAGTGTTTAGCGCCAATTCATCGTACTTGGCTTCGTTGTACAGTACTCTCCATTTCTCGATGATCTTTATTTCGATATTCCTTCCTATCTGAATCGTTTCAGCAACCCTGATCCTGATTCATCAACACTTTTTGTGTTTAGAATCGTATTGTGTAGCCGTAGAAGTTTTTAGAATCGTTGTTGTTGTTGTTGTTGTTGTTTATTATTGACATTTTACATCCTGCGGATGCATTCATGTCAGTTCAATAGATTTTTGTGTAAACAGTGTGTGGGTGTTTTCAGAGTGATGTGAGGGTGAGTGTTAGTGTTTACGATACAATTCAAAATTCACTTAGCTTTCTTATCGTTTGCTCGTTTCCTGGTTCATCGTCTGCATGCTCATCTCATGGTTTACCCTTCTTCTCCATAAATTTCTTCTTTACTTCTTCTATATATATATTCACCATCTTCATTCTTCATGATCTTCCATATATCTTTTCCACATTATTTTTCGATTTCTCCGTTCCTTCCTTGCGCTTCATATTTATCTTCATTCTTCTGCATCTTCATAATCATTCATGTCTTCTGTAGTACTTTCGTTTTCTGCTTCATCTTCATCCTTTTTCACTTTATCTTCTTCGATTTCCATTCAGCATCTTCTTCATGAACTCATTTGCTTCCAACATTCATCGGTAACATTCTTCCACTGCATCTTCTTCCATTTCCACGTCAACAACGGTCCCACAGCATTCACATGCTGGCGGAGCTGTTTTCTTCAGCAAAAATTCATGCGTAACCCTAGTATGACCAATGCGCAGACGAGTGAGTATGCGTTGCTCGGCAGAGCTGTACTGATCGATCCACTTCTTTGTTTCCCTTTTGTCCTCCTTCAGCTTCACATCTGTCAATTGTGCCCAACGTGCTTCCCATAGCTGACGAAAGACTTGGTTCATGTTCTTGATGGAATCAATTCTTGGTACGGCAACGTTGATTGGTGGACTGTTTCGTGCTTCACTGGCTAGACGGTCTGCTTCTTCGTTACCGCGAATTCCGGCATGACCAGGGATCCAACAAAGGTGGATCGGCCGTCCACGTAGTAAGCGCTCGATTTCCTGGATCCACGGATGCTGCGATCTACCACTCTCTATGGCCGAAAGACAGCTGGCCGAATCAGACAGAATTATAACACATTCGGTTGATGCTCTTGCAGCGATGACGGCCGACTTGATTGCAAAGGCCTCCGCCGAAAAAACGCTACATTGTGACGGAAGACCTATTGCTTGCTGAATGCTGCTACTAAATACACCTGCTCCAACTATGTTCTCGCATTTAGAACCATCCGTATAAATAGCCAAAGCACGGCTAAACCGGTTAGCCAGCAACTCCTGCACGATGGGACGCACTGTATTCGGGGGGTCGACAGCTTTCACCTTCCGTTTCACATCCCAAACAATATGCGGCTTGGGTTCATACCACTCTCGGTTGGCTAGACGTGTTAGTACAGCGATGTTTGGAAGCTCTACATCAATCGTCGCCAGGCGATCGGACGCTCGTTCCACAACTGGAAGATCGATATTCCTGGAATCCTTCTCCATCAAACGAATTGCAGCACGAATTATGGCTTGCATAATCATTAAATCGAATGGCAAAGTGCCTGCTTCAGCCATAATCGCTGGAATCGGACTGGTGACGTACGCCCCTGAGGCGAACCGGACCATCCGGTTGTAGATGGGTGCAAGAGTCTGCACCACCGAATCCTTCGCTCTACTGACGAGCCCGATACCGTAGATAAGTCGCGACGTGACGATTGCTGATCCGATACCCAACAGAGAATCGCGTTGCCCTCGCGGAAGTTTAGCCCCGATCATCTTCAAGATCCGCAGTCTAGAGTCGCACGTGTTTTTGACTACCTTGCAATGGTGTTTGAAGGACAGCGACCGGTCAAGGTTGACGCCAACAACTTTCAGTTGATTCGTCCTCGGTACAGCTGTACGGTCGATGAATATATCGTTGCTGGGTTCTCGACGGGCGTTGGGACTGCCGTAGAAAATTTTTGATTTTGTCGCGGAAATTGTGAAGCCGACGCTTTTCGCCCATTTGTCGACAGCTTTCACTGCAGCCTGTAGATCTCTATACAGAGGACGCTCCTTACTCCTCCGTACCACCAGCAAAATTCGTCCGCATAGAGAAGCACGGCAACAGTATGCGGCACCACTCTGAAAATCGGCTGCATCGCTATAAGGAATAACGTGACAGACAACACTGATCCTTGAGGGACTCCGTTCTCCAATGGCATTTCATCCGATAAATGTTCTTCCACGTTCACCCGGAAAGATCTATCGGTGAGGAAACTGTTCAGTACGTTGAACATGCGCCCACCCATCTGCCACTTACGCAGAGTACGCAAGATACCGTACCGCCAAGTGGTGTCGTACGCTTTCGACAAATCAAGCGATGCAATCAAGCAGTGTTCGTCCCGATTTGGCAATGACTTATCCAACTCCGCCAAGTATGTGTCGACGCCTCTTCCAGCTCTAAAGGCGTGCTGCCTCTTATCCAGTCGTCCATTTGACTCCAACTCAGTCGTCAATCTGCGGTTCACGATACGTTCGAACACCTTTGCGATGCAGTTGGTCAAAGTGATAGGTCGGAAAGCAGCAGGTCCAGATTCACAACAGTATTAATAAGTTTAAAAATTACTCTTTTGATTGTCGATTTCTCCATATTTAGGTGGTGGAAAGTTGAATCCCTCACTAAGATGTGCCCGCTGCTGGTGTGCAAAAGAACCAGTACTAAGTAACTAACGGATTTCCACAGTACATGGCATATAAGATCGACTCAAATTTAAATTTGGATTACTCAAACTCTAGAAAACATAGTTTACTTGTAGACTGAGTAAATTTTCCGAGCCATTCTAGAAGTATACACTCAAAGAATAAATCACACATCCAATGGAAAATATTCATTAGAATTTCACATAACTTTCATGTGGTATTATAATTGGGAATTGCATCACAAAATCGCATGAACATTAGTGGGAATGACACTGATGAAGACTGCACATTGTAGTCGAAATACGTATCTGTCATGGATACCAAAATTAATTAAGTGGAATTAAATGGAAGATAACCTTTTTTGCTGAAATTTAAGTGATTTATAGAACTCATGTTATTAGATTTTGTTTGTCTTGTCCCCCGTCTCGATGAGTCCCAATGAAAACTACATGAAAACTTTTTTCCGTGTACTAATTTCATATGTACATCGAGATGTTGCTCATATTAGATAACAAATTCCTGCAAAAGCTCGGAAAGTTTTACTCAGTCTATGAGTTAATTGCATTTTCAAGGATATTAGTGTGCTAATCTCAACTTTGTGTCGACCTCATTTGTCGTGTAATCGTAATTTATCTTTTTATTAGTGGCTTTTAACGTATACGCAAGGAATCAAAAATATCTCCAAATGATAAAATGACAAGCTATCAACGAACCGAATGATAAAGCTATGTCAGAAGTGGAAAGCAAAAAGGATACAATCTTCTTCTTTCTTTTTTCATGACAATGAACCCGTGCGACACAGCTCAGTCAGGGCGGTAGAAGGAAACGAGCAAATTGTTGGCAAGCTGCTTCACGAAGTAAAGCCGAAGATGATACACGTGTGTTAATGGGATTTTTTTTGTTATGTCTTTTCTAGGTTCAGATCAAGCTATGTTCTCATCCATGTATATTTCAACAAAGCAGGCAAGCACTATATAATTATCCTTCTACCACTCCGATCGAGCTATGTTACAGAGCGAGTTTGTTATGGTAGTCGTAGCAACCGTTTTGTGTGTATCGTTGGGTGCTTAATGTGTTTGGATTCGCTGCGTATACGGCGTAAATGGATGCATTCCCAACTCCAATTAGGTTCAATTCGTTAAAAGCAGGTCTTTTTTTTACTTTTACTGACATTTCAAATATCGCATCTATTTCATGACACGCAAAACTTCTTCTAATTTTATGCAGCCCAATTACAGACATTACTGAAATTCATAAAAAATATTTTTTGCTATATTTCTGAAAAAAAAATCTGGCATCTCTGGCCACGCAACTCCTCTTGATATCTGCGGGTTCCTACCTCCACGAGTAATTGATCTTTGGAACGGTGTCCTACCATAAACTGGAGTCATTCGACTTGCAGCACATCGTGATGGACCAGCGACTGCTCGAACCGCGTTCACTGACATCACCAGTGTACCCAAGTCAGACTGCTTCTTGGACACATCTTCTTCATTGAGACGGATTGCCCCGATCTCCTGAATCTTGTCAATAAGCTTCTGAAGTGTTAATCCTTCTTGCTGAGGGTTTGGTGTTTTACGGTTCATCATCTTGATTGCTGCTACTCTCACTCCCTTGTGGAAAGCTCGACAAGACAAGGTGTTCAAAATCTCGTCGAACTGTTTTTCTGCCGGATACTCGCACAATTTCACCGCTAGAGCAACTCATCGGATCAATGGCTTGTCGAATTCCGCTTAGATTTATGGCTCAATATGTATTGTTCTTTTTTAAGATTCTAGAATACATCAAAATGGTTGGATTATCTCAACTAGTGATGCACCGAATAGTACTATTCGGCCAGGTTTGCGGCGTTTACACCAAAATGTTTCCTGATGTTCGGTCTTTTACCATCTAACAAGCTTGATATTCGGCCGAATAATCTCAACATAATTTTAAATTCAGATAAATTTTGCTTGAAATTTAAAAAAAAATATATATGACCAAGCTTACTGAACTTCGGCAAGGCACCCGAGGGCAGCCTGCGACTACCCAGTGGGTTGTGACCCATACACTGAAGTAAACAAATCTTAGGAATTATATATGACATAGATATGATTTATTTACTTGGACAATTTCGTTTAATAAGACGACTCATGGCTTCCCCCCATCCAAACCTCACTACAACGCTGAACCAATCCTTACCTGACTACAGATGAAATCGTTCGGTTTCATGCAGAAATCCCCCAGTGCAACAGCACTGGCCAGATAGATCCCGGAAAGCAACCAGCATACGGTCACGGCCAGCAGGCCACACACGCTGAAGAAGATCAGTGCACAGCGGGAACTGCGCGTGGCCCCGATGACCAGGATGATGCACAGCACCAGCAGGAAGGTCAAGAATCCTAGCGTAACCGGCCATCGCAGCTCTTCGTAGAATTCGTACGTCTGCAAAGAATCAGAATGGAAAACACAAAATGGTGAGTGGGCGTACATAACTGCTAATTAAAAAAGTTTTCCTCTCGAGCTTCGCCGCCCCTTTGATAAGCGTTCCGTTTTCAATTAAAACGGGAGGAATGCCGATGGATGCATAGATAGTGCGAACATAATAGGCTTGTTCGAAGTTTTCGCCAGGTCTTGTTCGAAAGTAGTTTTAATTGACCGAAGAAATTAGAAGGGAAGGAAAGCAGTGACAACTTTTCGGTTTGCCGGGAGGCGGAAAAACTTAAACATAATTGGGCAATTTCCAAAACTCTCAAGCTGAAATTTAGAAAAGACATTCCTATCGACCGAATGCTAGATCAAGATCTTTCGGGTTGTGAAAATGAGTTACACAACTTCCCACCCGTTTCCCACCAGCAGCATCCAATCCATCTTCATTAGAACTATTTTTAGGGATCAGAAAAGGAGCAAAAGTGTCTGATTATAATGCTGGCGAATGGCGAATGGTGCTAGAGTGTGGCCTGACTGATGATGACAGTGATGGTGGCATCAGGATAAATATACATCACCATCATCTTCACCGCCACCGTCGTCGTCGTCGTCATCATCTCGCAATCTATTTCCAGCTGAGTCAATAGACACAATGAAATGGGAAAATGGATTCCTCAGTTGCTCCAGCAGTACCTCATCGGACGGACTCATCGCGATTTACACCAATGGATGTGGATGGAGTGTGCATGGTGTTGTCTCATGTGTGTCGCTTTACACCGTCACTTACGCTGACTAATGAGGATGACGGAGTGAAAAAGGTGATGGTGAGTAAAAAGCCACGAGGACGACGGTTTGATGCTTATGAGGATGCTGGCGAGGCAAAGGACGTGCAGTACGATTGTAGCAATGGAGAGATGGTTTTTCAGCTGATGGTTTTCAACAACCGTGGGAATGTTTAAGGGTTGGTTTCATTTCATCAGAGAGCGACCGGAACATAAGCGAAATGTGGAGGGCTCTGACGCAATTATTTGATGATGTAACTGTTATTGAAATCCATGGCGAAATGGATTTAGCAATATTCCTGACAACCTCAAATATTCTCCAATTTAATCGTAATGTTCCTGGCTTTTACGTTTCTTATCCGAGGATTTTGACTGCTCTCCGCTTGGTGTTCAAGATGCACATCTATAGTTATTAAGGCGATAGTGGATCAGTTTAGAGTGACTATCTTATATGATTTTTTTAAAATAACGCTACGCGCTACTGGAAATAAAAATTTCATAGGTCGTCAACTTTACTTATCAAAAGCTCACGAGTGACGCTTTTCGTTGGCTCTATTTGATGAAATTTGCAGTCCAGAATTGATTTAGGTTATTATGTGAGAGCTTCAGCCCCTTTGGTTGATGCAACTTTAATGAAGGTGGTAATTTTAAATTTAATTAAATAAATTTAACTATTTTCGGTGAATTTTTGAAGTAAATGTGTGTGCCTTTTTTCTAATTCAGTAGGACTAGAAAGTCATCTCATTTGTTTTTAGTAAGCCAAATCTGGAAACCACGAGAATATTTGTTCTACAAACTAATCATTGGCATACATAATGAACCCAAGTAGTATTACAAGCAGGGGTTAAAACAGTTGACGTTTTTACTACACTCGCTTCGTTGTCGTGCGCGACAGTCTGTTTGTATTCGAACACTCATGCTCTACCGTCGTCTCTCTCACACAACACGAGCGGTAGAATAACATTCTAGCTAAAAGAAAATTATCAAAATAACTATCATATGACAAGTGTGATTTCGTTGTAATTCCTCAATTTGGTGTAAATCAAACCATTTCTGATCAGAAATATTATTACTAGGACATCATTGCTTGCTATTTTCAGAATTCACACAAGCACTAAAATACATACATTCGTGACGGTCTTCGGCTACAGTGTCGTATGACAGAGCCTGTCATACGACATTTTAGTTTGGTACTGTACTATGATAGCTTGCTTTGCAAGTGTCGGAGGCAAAGGCAGTCAATTATCACAGAAAATGTGTCGACTACCGTGACCGCTTATAAGACTGATTACAAGTTTGATATTTGGAAAATTGGTTTTCCCAAATGTGGAAATTATCCTCGGGATATTTATTTCAATGATGATCACCAATTGCTCGAGACAGATTAAAATGAGTGAAGTTGCTAAGTTGTTTAGAACGCCAAGGGCAGGCTGAAAGGAAGACAGTTTGGTTCGGAATTCAGTCGCTGCATGGCGCTAGTGTACATACGAGATTTAGCGTTTTCGGATTTATTTTATCTCGTCATCCCGACCACATCGATGTCGCATAAACCTAACCACGGCAGACAAGTTACGCAGCGGAATCACTTCCGACCAAGGAACCAGGGAATCGACTGAGAAACTTTTCGGTAACCGCGTAATAAAGTGGCAAAGACGAGCGATACGTTTTGACTGCTTTTATTTACGGATGAATACAGTGGAACGGATAGCATATTATTCTCCCCTCTCTCTCGTTACCGTTCATAGATATGGGGACAGATGTCGCACTTCCGACACTCCTCCTCGACATCTTCAACGGTCGGTGTTTGCTGTCAAACCTAGCATCGTTGAAAATTGCTGTTGCTTCAGATGTCCTAGGGGTTTGGTGAGGGTATCGGGGATCATTGATTCTGAAGGGCAATACTGAATGGCTACCAAACCTTTCTCCGACAAATCTTCAGCGAAATACCTCCGGGTATCGATGTGTTTGGAGCGCCTTGATGTCCGGTCTATGAAAACAAATTCGATGCAACTGGTGTTGTCTTCGAATACAACGGTAGGTTCATCCTGCTCGATCCCGAAGTCCTCGAGAAGCTTCCGGAGCCACAGTAGTTCCCTGCAGGCCTCTGATAGTGTAAAATATTCGGCTTCCATGCTAGACAATGCCACGCCAGTTTGCTTGCGGCTTGCCCAGCAAATGGTTGCTCGTCCTAGTTGGAATAAATATCCGGTGTTGGATTTACGATCCACTGTATCGCCACTCCAGTCAGCATCTGGGGTCGAGACGGCTAATACATAGGTGTAACAGTCGGAAGAAGTGTTAGTTTGTTTACTTAAATGAACCATGCCCATTTTGTTATGGCATGTTTGCTATACGAAATGCGCCTCGTGTTTATTAGCGAATTTCACATCAAAGATTGATTAATTGAGTAGGAAATCAGTTTGGCACGGCATTTGTGACCAGCATACACCTTCCGGTAGTATGAAACAGGTCAAAAACTGTTCAAATCCGCAGATAAAATTTTTGTTTTGAATTTCTGTATAGCAAAATAGTGAACTTTTCGTGAACATTAACGGCAAAGAACTCACCAACACTGGGAGACTGTGAGTTCCTGCCCACCTGTTCATTTTCCATCGTGATCTGGGGTTCTTCAATGTTGTTCGAAAGCTTGAGCTTGTAGTTGATTGGACGAGATATCGGACTACCCTTTTCAATTCTAATCAATCTACTTCCGTCGGTTCACTAATTTTACGGCTAAGGATCGAAACGCTTGCCGACACATCCGGCCGTGTATTGATAGCCATGTATATAAGTGCTCCTACTAAGCAAGTGTACTGTATACACTCAAAAAATTTCACACGTTTGATCGAAGTGTTTAAACACTTGATTTTCTAAATGCACAATCACATTTACTTTAAGTGTATTTCACCTTGGTTCAATGTGTTATACATGTTAATTTATAGTGTTTCAAACTTTGAAATGTTGAAAATCTTTCACTATCTATTCAAGTGTATTGCACATTGAATCACGCTACTGTTCAAAACAGATGGATTTAAAGTGTTTTGCATTTCAATACGATGTGAATTGCTTGCTCAGAAAGGTAAACATCTATAACAAGAGTTGTGACTTTATCCTATCAACCTGCCTCATATATGAGAACAACCGTGGCACAGTGAGATCGAACGAAGACTCCGGCAGCAGCATACCCCAACAGTCCATGATCGAATCCCAAATCAGACCCATTAAAAATATATGTGAAAGCTCTGGCCTCTGGCAGTTTTGTTTATATATTTGTCGATTCATTTTTAGAGTCGGTAAAGTAGAATTCGATAAAGTAGAATATTGTAGAATATTGAACTATGGTGTGCAAAGCTTTTGATATCACCATATGAGGCACATAGAATCCAAGTGTGTCACAATTCAAATCCATAGTGTTCAGGCATGGTTCACACATGAAATGGATGTGTTTCACAATATGCGCAAAATTAAGTGTGAGACACATGATGATGACGTGTGGAATTTTTTGAGTGTATTATTGGGCAATACCGTGCTTCCATCTCTGGTTCGATAGTATCCTGCATCCAGAGGAACTTTCGATCCTTTTGCGTGATTTAATCCAAAACGGGTGGCGATCTTAGTGATGTAGCTGATTGGACCGAGCGACGACAACTTCACTCTTTTCTTCAGCTGACACTCAATTTGGTCAAGCTCTTCCTCAACTTCACTCGTAACAATTATATCGTCGACAAAGATCAGTAAATATACCAGCCTTCCAGAAACACGCTTACTGAACAAACACGGATCGGATTGCGATTGTTGAAATTCAATTTCTTCTAGGATAGCACAAATAGTCTCGTTCCACACCTTGGCACTTTGCTTTAATCCGTACAGACTTCTTTGAAGGCGGCACACTAATATTTCTTGACCACGTCGAGTTGGCCATGCAAATAAGCACTTTTCACATCAAGATGGCGATCGTGCATTCTCTTCTTTCCAGCAACTGTCAACAGGGTGTAGTGTATTTGATATGGTTGATATAAAATAAAAATTAATTTACTTTAATTTCGTGTGGAGTCGACAAAGTGCATTTGGTAACACTGGGAGTCGACACACATGACATAACTGGACGATTCATACGCGCCGAGAGCAGTTGAGTATGAGCTTCGGAAAGCTCCGAATACACAAATGTGATTCGTGTCATGGAAAACGAAGATCGGCTTCGAGACGACATCAGACATCAGACGAGGGAGATAG